CGCACGTGGGAGATCCCACTGTGGACCATGGGGCTCAGTTGCCCCACGGGCATGTGGGATCTTAGTTCCCCGACCAGGGATCGAACCCGCATCCCCTTAACCGCTGGACCGCCAGGGAAATCCCTCAGAGGCGTTGCTTTTTTGCCCACAGTAGTCAGGGGCAACTGTAGGGTTTAACCCACCGGTGGATTGGTTCCAGAACCACATCTCAGAGACGGAAGGGTAAGAGAGGCAGGGAAGAGAGTGAGCAGAGATGGAAGAAAAAAGGAGACTCAGAAAGGGGCAGAAGGAAGCAAAGACAGACTTCGAAGAGACAAAGAAACAGACACACACAGGCAGAGGGGGCAGGACAGAGCGCTGCGCGGCCGGTGTGGGGAAGGAACGAGAAACTGAGGCTTGAGCTGTGAGAAATCACACACGGACGCCCAGCAGCTGCCATGAAGCTTGATGAAACTTTATTAAGCTAGGGCCCACCGGGAGCTGGGGCAGGGACAGGGCCTCCTGTAGGCTGGGGGGACGTGGGGCCAGCACAGGAGCGGGGCCTCCCAGGGGGATGCGCGGGCACTCAGTTACTCTCGATGGGCGCAGAGGTGGGGCTGGTGGCCATAGCCAACTGCACTTTCTCCACCAGCCCAGCCCACTGGCGCTGCATGTCTTCCACCAGAGGCTCGAACCAGCTCTTGAGGCGGGCCTGGAAGGCCTCCGCTTGCAGGCGCATCTGGCTGCCCTGCTCCTCCACCTTGGCGCGCACCTCCTCCAGCTGCTCGCGCATCTCCTCCAGGTGGTCCCGGGCCTGGGTGCCCATCTCCTCCATCCGCCCGCGCAGTTTCTGGTGCCAGGCCTCGGCGCGCTCCCTCAGCGTCTGGCTGGCCAGGGTTCCCACGGTGGCGGCCCGCACTCGGCCCTGCTCCACCAGGGGCCCAAGGCGCTCGCGGATGGCGCTCACGCTGCGCTCTGAGCCCTCGAGCGCCCCCGCGCGGTACACGGCCAGGCGCTTCTGCAGGTCCTCGGCGTCGCGGAGCAGCCGTTTGCGCAGCTTGCGCAGGTGGGAGGCCAGGCGGCCACGCAGCTCGTCGGTGGTCTGGCCCATCATGGCCTGCACCTCGCTGCGGTACTGCGCCACGCGACTGCGCACGTCCTCCATGTCAGAGGCCAGCCGGGCCTGCGCTGCCTGCAGCTCCTTGGACACACGGGCCTGCGTCTCCTGGGCTATGGGGCCCAGCTGCCCCTCCAGCTCCTCCCTATAGGCCTTTACCTCCTTCATGGTCTCGTCCATCAGCACCCTAAGGGGCGAGAAGGAGGGAGCATGGGCGTGAAGAGAGCGGAACAGGGATCCTGAGCTAGAGTGATGGAGCGAGAGACAGAGAGGAACATGCCAGAGACAGGAAGGGTCGAAAAACAGAATCAGAGAGAGGTAAAGCCAGGAGCTAAAAAGGGAAAGAAAGCAAGAAGTGAAGAGAGATCCAGACCACCAAGAGTTGGTGATGGGGACAGAAAGAAACCCAGACCACTGGAAGCTGAGGGTCTGGAACGCACTGCCCACCAGGAGGGTCAGGGGCCAGGGCAGGGGCACTCACGTCAGTTCCTGAATGACCTGGGTGCTGAGCAGTTCCTCCTGCACCTGGTCAGACAATGTCTGCACCCAGCGCAGGTAATCCCAGAAGCGGCCCAGCGCCTGCTCCCAGGGCTGGCTGCCCTGCCACCGGGGCCACTCCCGCCCCAGCTGCACCTCGGGCTCCGGCTCTGGCTCCACTTCCGCCTGGCATCCTGCACGGAGCAAGTTCACAGCAGTCAATGTCCTCCTCTGTTCCCTCCAGGCACACAGTACCTGGTACAGAGTGGGTGCTCCACAAAGGCTGGTGGGCTTCATCAGAGCACTGGTGGGCAGGGAGGAGGTGGAGGGACACCCAGCTTGTTTTAATCACTTGGCAAGCATTGATTGTGTGTTCCATGCACCGCCATGCTGGGGTGATGGAGAATAAAACTAATCACAGCTGACGCTTAACTACTGCTCACTACCTGCCCGACAGCAAAGGATTAGAAACTGTTACAACTCTCATTTTAAGGATGGGGAAGCTGAGGCTCAGAGCGAATAAAACAGCTGCTCAGAACGAATGAATGTCGGAGAGACCTCAGACCTGGGGAGATAGACCAGCAAAAGAGGGGACCCAGGGACGGGAAGAGGGCAAGGGGTACGGCTGAGGATGGGAGGGGGAGGGGCAAGGAACCTAAGCAAACCCCATCCCCATACCTGCCAGGAGCGTGATCACCAAGGCGACCCACAGAACCTTCATTTTCTGGCTTGCGATTGGCCAACCTGGGGGAGGGAGACATTGTCACTCAACAGTGGGGACTCCTCCCACTCAGAGCCCCGCCCCATCAGGTCTCGGCCCTCAAAGCCTTGCACCCCATAGCTAATCCAATCACAAATAGTTACGAAGCGGCCCGGCCCCTTCATTGTCTATTTAATTCCCATTGTCTTCTCCTATATCCCCATCCTCAGGCGGTCCCTGCCAAAAATTCTATCCCTCTCTCCCAGGGTTCAAATTCCACTCACCCCACCCTCCCCTCCACCCCGGAGTTCCCTGTGAGCCCCAACTGGACTTTCTAAGTTCCAACCTCGCATTCCTCATCGTACCTTCACATTCTAAGCTCCAACTTCACATCTAAACGGTATCTTCCACATATTCGCTAATTTAATCCTCATTCAAAAGTCCTTCAACCGACGCTCTAGCTACCCTGCCGACACCCCTGGTCGCCGCCACCCCTGCGCCTCCCACGAACGGAGATCTTAGGATGATGGGGGCACTCAGTAGGTGCTCAATAAACGACAGTGACAATTGGTGGGCTCTTGCTATGGCTCGTCTGGTTTTCCTACAGGTCCAGCTGCTCCCCTGACCCCACCTTCCAGCCCAGACGGGATGCCCCTGCTGCCCCCCCTTCTTCTAGGTCCAGTCCCCTGCCTCTGGCCTCATCCCCTGCTCCTGCTTCTGTCCTGGCCCGGGCGTAGGACCGCCACCTCCTCCTCCCCCCACCCCGTGCACCCCCAGCCCATCCCCCACAGAAGCCCTGAGCTGGACTTTGCGCCCCCAGCTCTGCTTCTCACCCGTTCCTGGGGAATGGTGTCCTTCGCTTCCTCCGGGGCTGAGTAGGAGTCAGGGATCCCAGGTTCGTCCAGTTATAGGGCTCCCCCTGCCCCGCCCACTCCTCCAGATCTAGGGCAAGCTGGGCCAGCCCCTGTCAGGTCACGAGGTGGGCTCTCCTCCCCCTCCACACACAGCAGGGAGGCGGAGGGGGGTGGGGCTTGGAGGCTAGCAGCTCCCACTCCCAGCCTCCGTGAAAAGAGATGACATCTCACCCAGTAACTCAGGCGCCTTCCTCCATTCTGGTGGGTGGGTGAGTTGGGGGCAGGGTGCTGGGCATGGAAGGGGAAGCAGGCGGCTGTCCGGAACACCCATTCCCTGTTCCTCTCTTTTCCAGCGGATGGATGAATAGAATTTGAGGAAAGGGCTGGGGGCCCAAAATCCTGGGTCCGAGGAAGAAGCGGGGCTGCGGTCTGGGATTTCTGGGTTGGGGGAGAAAGGAGCTGGAGGCCCAGACAGAAATGGCATGGGAGTTCTGGGGACAGTGTAAGGCATCTGGTAACAGCCCAGGCTTTGAGAGTGAAACCTGGGTTTTAAGCCTAGCTCCCTCTTGGGCTGTGACCTGGGGCACGGGTGAATGCCTCTCTGAGTCCCCTTCCCCATTTGTGACTTGGAAATCCAGCATTTCTCCCCAACACAAGCATCGTGGATTCCAGGAATCGGTGCGTGTTGTAACTTCCGCAGGGCTTGAAGCATTCGTGTTGTGTTGCCTGGTTAGGACTGTGGACTCCGGAACCGAACTGTCCGGGCCTGAATCCAGGCTCTGCCGGTTGCCATCTGTGTGACCTTGAGCAAATGACCTAGCTTCTCTGAACATCCAGTTTCTTGGTCCACAAAACCGGGAAAACAGTTGCACCTAACACCGTCGTTCGGCGAAGCAACAGGCTACTATATGTAGGAAGTACTGAGCAGTTCCTCGCAAACAGCAGGCCCTGAGTTGGAGTTAACTTCTGTGATGTGCCACAGTGGGCCCTTACTGTCCCCTCCCTCCTTAGCACCTCTGTGACATGAACGCCAGCTGTTACACAGATGGGAGACAACTGAGACAAGATTCAGGATTGAGGTGGATGGTAAAGCCACACTGGATGAACTGGAGGAGCTGGGATTCACTCCTGGTCCTTTGAGGGGTGGGAACATTGGATGCCATGGGGTCAGGGGAGGCTGGATGCCTGATCCCAGGAAGGGAGCCCCAGTGCCAGCCAGGCCCAGGCCTGTTGTTTGGGGCTCAGCTGGCGCTGGCAGGGAGCCGGTGGGGTGGTCTCTGGGCCGTGACAGCTCATCACGGGTCAGGTCGGCAGCCTCCCTCCCCAGTGTGAGAGGCGGGGTTTCGGCTCCTCTGTCTGGCGAGGGCTCAGGATGTGGGTCTGCCTGGAGCAGGAGTGACCGACTCTGAACTCTCTCCATCCGGTGCTTGAATGCTTCCTGAAGCTTCTCGGAAGCTCTGACCTTCCTATCAGAAAGTCCTCACACCCCTTCGTGCCCTGCCCCTTTGGGAACCTGGAAAGACCCCGGGGAACCTGGAAAGACCCCGGAGTCCCAGCTCGCCACCCCCACCCCTGCACCCAGAGACAGCCTCACCCCTGTTGCTTCAGTTCACAGGGACAAAGTCCTCTGCAGCCATGCTGGCCAGGCCAAGACCACAAGACCATGCGAGGGAAGGCCTGTGATGCCCCTGTAGGGAAGGTCACAGGGAGGCTGTGTGATCCTCGGCCAGGCCCCTCCCCTCTCTGGTCTGGGCTCTGGCCAGGGACTCCGCTCAATTCCCTTGGCCCCTGCTAGTCACTGTGGGAGGTCAGACCAAATGAACAGGCCAAATGGACCACAGACACGTGGAGGAAAACAGACGCCTGCCATTTCTTTTTTTTTCCATGTATATTTTTTGTAGGTTTTTTTTTTTTTTTGTAAAATGTCCCAGTTCTTCCATAACTTATAAACATGATTTATACCGAAGGGTGGATGGGAAAGCGGGCAGGGTGGAGTGACTGGGGATGGGGAAGCGCCTCTTCTTGCTGCCCCCTGGGGGCTAGGCCTAGGGCCCTCTGGGGCACGGGGACACCCCAACACCTCCCTGAGGTTGTCTGGCCGCCTCTGCCCCTGGTGCTCAGAATCCCGGGCGCCCCTAGATTCCAGAATCCCTTCCTGGACCCCAGGCCCACCGGGCACGCCGCCCCTGGTACTCCGAATCCTGACGTGCCTGTGGTTCCAGGAGCCCCCCGCCAGCTGCGGGGGTGATGGGTCCCCTCCTTTCCGCTGCCCCCCTGACCCCCGAGGAGGAGGGAAGGGAGGGGGAGGGGGGCTCAGGTCTCCCCTCCGTGGCAGGGGGAGGGGGAGGTGGGATCTGAAGGAGGAAGGGCGTGGAAGGCCGGGGCCAGGAGGGGCTCAGCCGATGGTGAGACCAAAGCCGCACTGGAACTTGTTCTTCCGGTGATTCAGGAAGGCCCCGAGGGCCAGCGTCAGGGGCAGGGGTGGGAGCTTCTTCTCCAGCGTGGCGCCCACGATCCAGTTGCTGTCCACGGAACCTATGGGTGAACAACCGAGCTTAGAGCCTTGCGCTGGCTTCTCGCCCCATCCCCGCGAGCTGCCCTCCGGCCCACCTCAGATACCACCGGCCAGACCACGGACCGTGCTGTCCCCGCCACCTGAAACCTCTTCATGCCCTCCAAGTACTTCAGCTCTGAGCTCAGTGACCCCTTCCCTCCGGGAAGCCCTCCGCCACTTCATGGGCCCCGTCATCCCAGTCCTGTCCACACCAGGTCGCTGCTCTCTGGGGATGGGTCTGTCCCTCCCACTGTGAGCCCCGGGGCTTGGGGGGTGGAGGTGGGAGAAGGGGCCTGGTCACTGCTGTGTCCCCAGCATCCTCGGCACAAGGCCGGGCACAGAGCAGGTGCTGAGCATCTGCTGAAGCAAAGACTGAAATCTCTAACTCTACTCAATACTCTGTAATGGCCTATATGGGAAAAAAGTCTAAAAGTGGAAATATATATACACATGGCTGATTGACTTTGCTGTACAGCAGAAACACAACATTGTAAATCAACTATACTCCAATAAAAGTTTTTTTAAAAAAAGTGAGAAAGACTGAAATCTCCTCCAGGGCCTGTGCCCCAGGACCTGACAGGTGTGCAAGTACCTGGTGTGGTCCCCACAGGGTGGAGCCTGAGAACTCACTGAACCCAAACCCAGCCTCTGACCCCGGCTGCCTGCAGAGCAAGGGCTCGAGAGGTGGGCAGGGAAGGCGGGCTTCAGAAGCAAAAAAAAACCCAAAACCCGACAACAATAAAAACCCCCAAACCCAATCCCTGGCCCTCCTGGCTGCCTTCGGAAACCCTGACCCAGGCCCACTGAAGCGGCCCTTCCAGGGCTCTCTCCACACACCCCAAACCTGAGAGCCACTGAGGCCCAAGAGGAAACTTAAGACTAGAGTCGGTCGGCCTCGGGGAAGGTTCCGGATCTGGCTGTGACTGGGCAGCCTCCCTAACGTGAGACTGTGGGGTCGGCCGGCTGTGCTCCAAGTTGCCTTCCACTCACGAGAAAAAGAAAAGCGAGGGCCGTGTGCGCAGACTGGGAGAGGGCCACTTGGGGGGTGGTAGGTGCAAAGCTCAGGGCCCAGGCACCCATCCACCCTCTCAACTAGCGTTCCTGGGCAACCTGGGGGCCCGGCACACTGCCCTCTACCATCTCCCCGGCCGGTATACCCACTCAGAGCCACCTCTTGCCTGTTTCCCACACAGGGAAATGGAGGCCTGTACCTTTGAAGAGGAGGTTGGCCTTGGGCAGATCCAGCTGGTACCCAAAGGAGACACTTGTGTCCTGCATCCTGGTGCTGGCCTCGAACTCCACGCCCACCTGCAGCTGGGGGGGCCAGGGCGACACACACGGGTCAGCCTCCCAGGCTGAACTCTCAGGCATGCCAGCCCCGGGCACCCCACACCCAGCACGTGTGCCACGCGGCCAGTCCCTGGACCAGCTCACCTGGTCACTGGCTTTGTGGTAGTATGTTGCATGCATGCCCGCCTGACCCAACGTGACTGTCGCCAACCAGTTGTTCACTGTAAGAGAGCAGGGTGGGGGGTGGGGCAGGTTACCAAGGGGGCTCGGCATCTGGGAACCCAGGTTTTCCCCCATCTCCCTCAGAGCCAGGAGTCCAGGGCCCCAGGCTCCTCCTCCCTCAGACCCAGGAGTCCAGGGTCCCCAGGCTCCTCCTCCCTCAGACCCAGGAGTCCAGGGTCCCCAGGCTCACATGTGTATTTCCCAGCTAGTGACATAACAGTGCCCTCCTCCCCAGGCCGCCGGTGGTAGACCAGCTCTCCGCCCAGGGCCAGACACGGCGTGATGCTCTGGAGGTAGTGGGCCACGAGGATTCCTGCAGGTGAGATGGGAAGGTATTACTTCTGGGCTCGGTGGTTAGTTTCTGCCCAGCTGGACTCCCGCTCCCTCAGGCCTCCCACTCGGGCTCTTTTTAAAAATTAATTAATTAATTAACTGATTTATTTATTTTTGGCTGCATTGGGTCTTTGTTGCTGCACGCAGGCTTTCTCTAGTTGTAGCAAGCGGGGGCTACTCTTCGTTGCAGTGCATGGGCTTCCATGCACGGGCTCTAGAGCGCAGGAAGCCCTGCGGGCTCTAGAGCGCAGGCTCAGTAGTTGTGGTGCACGGCCTTAGTTGCTCCGCGGCATGTGGGATCTTCCCGAACCAGGGATCGAACCCATGTCCCCTGCATTGGCAGGCGGATTCTTAACCACTGCGCCAGCGGGGAAGCCCCAACTCGGGCTCCTTGCTCAAGCAGTTCGCAGGGCTCTGAGGTCAGCCTCCCAGGCCCCCTGGGACCTCATCTGCTCTGCATTGATTTGTCTCCATTTACAGAGGAAGCCACAGAGGCTGAGGGGGTAAGTCACTTCCACATGGTCACACGATGCATCAGGGGCAGAATCCAGGCCTCTCCAAGCCCTGAGCCCAGGCTCTGAGACACTATGCCGCCATGAGCAATAGGAAGGATAGGGCTGGTAAGAGCACACCTCGGGGGGCCAGACAGCCTGGGTTCAAATCCCAGCCTTACCACTTGCTGGTAGAGTAACCGCGGGTCACTGGCCTCACTTTGCTGTGAATGGGACACCCCATGAGGTTGTGAGAAGAAGTAGAGGGCTGGATGCAGGTGCGGTGCACAGGGAGGGCCTGGCACACAGCCAGCACCCGGCAGTCAGGAGGACAGGCCCTGCTACCTCTGTCCCTCGGCAGGAGGGATGGCTCTGACTGAGGCCGCCTGAGTGTCTGTTAACCCATGACTCCACCACTGGGCTGAATTCCTTGAGCCTAAGGACTCATTTGCGTCTGTCTTTGAAAGCCCAGGAGAGGAGACGCCACAGATGTAATCTCTGTGGAGAGGAAAAACCAGGGAGGAAGAGAGAGTGATTGGGGGTTGCAGAAGGAGTGGTGACAGAGAAAAAGAAAACAAGAGACATCTCTGTAGAGACAGGGAAACAATCAGAAACAGACAGATGGGGACTTCCCTGGTGGTCCAGTGCTTAAGAATCTGCCTTCCAATGCAGAGGATGCCAGTTCGATCCTTGGTCAGGGAACTAACATCCCACATGCTGCGGGGCAACTAAGCCCGTGCACTCTGGAGCCCGCGCGCCACAAGCCGCAATTAGAGAGAAGCCTGCGTGCCGCAACGAAAGGTCCCGTGCACCACCACGAAGACCCAAAGCAGCCAAATAAATATTTAAAAAAAAAAGAAAGAAAAAAAGAAAAGAAATGGAGAGGGGTGGAGGAACTGAAGATTCCCAACCTGACAAGACAGAGCAGGTGAGGACAGGCGACATAAGCTTAGAGTTGGACCCCCAGCCAGAATGAGGGAGACCAGAGCAGAAGGGAAGGTAGGGACAGGGAAAGCCCAGAGCCGGGGGTGGGAGTGGGATGAAGCCTCGGGGACAGGAGCACGAGGTGTGAACCGGAGACGGGAAGACGCTTCCCAGACAGAGATCAGAGGCACAGACTAGGGACCGGCTCTGGGAGCAGGGCAGGACGGGACGACAGGATCAGGCTGCTCATATCTTCAGGCACACCTGGGTGAGGGTTGCCACCACGGGGGCTGAGCAAGGCTGAGGGCTGCTGGCCAGGGCTCTGGAGGTGCCCTGGGGGAGGCTGTGGTCAGGGCGGGCTGGAGCTGGCTTCTCCCCATGAGTAGACGACACAGATCCACCTCCTAGCCCCTACCCCTTGAGGCGGCTATTAAGCCATTACCAGCACACCTCTGGCCAGGAGCAGCCACTCCTTCAGTAGAAGAGGGACCTCAGGCCCACAGAGGGAAAAGTGACCATCCAGAGATCACAAGGGGACTTAACTCAAGAGTCTCTGGCCACGATTGGAACTGAGTGCCTCGCGGGCCCTGAACTTCTCTCCCACGCCCCATCTCCCGGGCCTGCCTCGCCCTCTGCTCCCCAAGCCCCACCCCTCTCCCTGGTCTCTTGCCCCAGTCTCACACACTCCAAGCAGCTTCGCATGCAGCAGACAGGGATCTTGTTAAAGCACACACCTGGCTCTGCTCCCCCTTCCCCGCTCCAGAACCCGCTATGGCTCCCCAGTGCCAAGGAGACCCCAGCTCCTCAGGGCACAGGTGCAAGGCCCCACGTGGCTCGTCCCCAGCTTTGAAACAGGCTTCCTCCGAGAGCTTCACAACTCACTGTGCAGCGCTTATCTCCACACAGGCCTTTTTCTTGAACATCCCAGCCCTTCCTGCATCTCTCTCCTTAAGTTGCTCTGTTTTTTCCTCCCACTTGTGTCCACACCCAGCTCCCCCGGGAGCTCCCCAAGGCAGGGGCTTTGTGAAAGCCAGTGGCTCTCAACCAGGGGCCATTCTGCAATGTCTGGAGTGGCCATGAAGAACCTGTTGAGTTCAAAACCTCATGAGAAGGAAAGAAAGTGAGTCAGAGGTCTGTGAGCAAAGAAGAGGCCTTGGGCAAGGGGCAGAGCGCAGACCTGGGAAAGGAGCATGGTTTCCCGAAACCTGCAGGGCTGGGGCCACATCTGGATCCCTGCGGAAAGTCACCTCGGGCAGGAAGGGCAGGCACCCAGGGCAGATGCTGCGGCGGGGAGGCAAGCACCGAAGGGAAGGTGGTTCTTCACCTCGGCCCAAAAGAACGGCTTCCCACCCTCCCCTCACCGCGCTCCTTGGGGCTCTGTCCATGCAGAGCCCTCTTCTGGGAGCGGTGCCCTCCTCTTCCCCTGCCTCGGTCTAGACACTGCCCCTGTCACTCCAGGAGAGATGGGACCTCCGTTATAAGCTCTCACGGCAACCTGGACCTTCCCAGCGTAGGATTTCTCCCAACAGTAATGCAGTCACCGTGTGATTGTTTGTTTAGAGGCAAATGTCTCCCCCACCGGCCTAAGAGCCCGGTGAGGACAGGGAAGGGCTGTGTGTGTACGTGCGCGCGCACGTGTGTGTGTCCCAGCAACGCCCCGCCCAAGGTGGGCACATGCTAGGTGCTCAGAATGAAGCAGAGGCTCCAGACGAGGGGCCGAGGCCACGGCTGGGGACCACGTACGACCACTGGCTCCTCAGTTAGGCCTAGGCCGTGATTCAAACTCCAGCTCCTCTGCTTCCTAGCTGTGATCCTGGGGGACTGATTTCACCCTGGGCCTTGCTCTCCTCATCTGTGAGAACCCTGATCCGCCTGCCCATGTGGGGTGGCATGGAGATCCAACCCAGAGCGAACCCTAACTAGGCATGTCAGGCCCCGCACTTGGGGCTGACAGCTTCTCCCACTGACTCCTTCAGCAAGGTGACCTCCCTGCAATTGTGCCCATGAGATGGATGAGGAAACTGAGGCTCAGAGCGGATGGAGCACCCAGCTGTCAGTGGTCAGTTACTCATGTGCTCAGCACTGACCTGGGACCAGAAGTTTTGATCAGTCCCTGAAGGGAGGAAGGGACACCTGTAGGAACTAAGAGACGAGAGTGTCACTGGCTTGGGCTCCAGGGAGGAGGGACCTAGAGGCCAGTGTTGAGGAACACGAAAGGCTGATGCCGGTGAGTGTTTGAGGGGACGGGGGCCCTGTGCCCTAGAGAGGAGCATGGACTCTGGAGGCAGCCTTGCTGTGTCTCCTTGGGAAGTTACTTGCCCTCTCTGGGCCTCAATCAGACGGGGATGATGGCAGCGCTACCCCACAAGGCTGTTGAAAGGATTCCACGAACCATTTGCTCACTGCTCCATCCCTAGTGCCTCGAGGGACTGAATGAAGGACCGGGTACGCACAGTATGCTTAGGACCTGATGAAAGGCAGGAGGTGAAAAACAGGACCTGCTGTGACCACCGCTCACTCCTTTGCTCAGTATTTTCTGAGCGCCTACTCTGTTCCCAGCAGCGCTCCAGGTGCTGGGCATACAGGTATCCTGGCTTCCCACCTTCACACACCTTTGCTCAGCACGCACTGCCCAAGAGCCTGCTCTTCCTGACAGAGCCAACAGCAGACACAAGAATCCGGAATCACCACCTCCACCCTTCTAGTTGCTCAAGACAAAAAAGGCTGACCGCTCATCTCGGACCTCCCTCTATCTCCCACACCCAACCCAGCAGCAAATCCCATCGCTCCACCTTCAAAGTACATCCAGATCCCGGACTACTTCTCACCCCCTCTGCTGCCACCAGGCTGGAAGCCCTTGTAGTCTGTTCTCCACACGTCAACACAAGTGGTCCTGTTAGAAGCTAAGTCAGATCCTATCCCTCTCCAGTGGCCCCAGACTCAATCTGAGTAAAGGCCAAAGCTCTACAAAGCCTTAAGGGACTTGGCCCTGTTAGCCTCTGACTTCTTCTACCACTTGCCCTCCTTCCTCATTCATTATAGCCCCAGTCCTCCTTGATGTTCCAGTGAAGGGTCCTACCTCAGGGCCTTTGCACTTGCTGTTCCTTCCGGCTGAAAAGCTCTTTTCCCATATATTTGCTTGGCACCTTCCCTCACATCCTTCAGTCTTCATTTTCAGTTATCACCTATGTAACGAGGCCTTCTCTCAAGATGCTGCCCACCCCTCCCGAGGCCGTAATTTTACCACACAGCTCCATCACCCATCTGCTTTACTTAGGTCACTAGAATGGAAGCTCCCAGAGGACAGACCTAATTTTCCTTTGTTCACCACCATATCCTCTGGACGCGGAAGACATAGAGTACGTGATTGATAAACTCACTCAACAAATATAGAGAAATCAAAAGCAGACACTCAGAGACAAAAATAAAAAAGGGGGAAGCAAACTGAAGAGATCAGAAGTCCAGACATTAGTCAGCTGGTGCCTGCCCCCAGCCAACCTAAGCAGCAATGTTCCTCCTCCAACTCCATCTCAGACTTACTTGCCTCCCCTCAGCTGCACGTAGACTCTGCCTGCCCCCGAGCAACCCCAGAGCCCCACGAGTAGTAACAAGAACAGCTCATTTCCTTGGGACCCATCACATGCCTGACCCCATTCGAAGCTCTCCACACATGACCCACTCAACAACCCTGTGAGGCAACCCAATTTTACAAATGAGGAAACTGAAGCCCACGAGGGTGATGGAAGCTCCCACAATCGCAGTTAAGCCAGTGGCAGAGCTGGGACTTGAACCTGCTTTCTCCCCAACAATGCTACGGGCTTGATGTTCTGTGTTCTGAAGTCACACCTGCCCGTGACTGTTTCTTGGATGGTAGAAGAGGGCCAGCGAAAGAAATGGATTTGCTGGCAAAGCTGGGACTGGGGTTTGATCCCCCCACCCCACCCCCACCAAGCCCCGTGCCTCTTACCTGAACCCACCAGGACGTCTGGGTTCCCCAGGGTGACAGCCGCCGTGAAGTCGGAACCCCGGTACTCCCCGTCCACCTGCCAGTTCACAAACTTTGACTGCTGGGTCTGTGGAGGGGAGGGGCAAGTGTGAGGGTGAAAGCGAGGAGGACCCCATGGGGCCCTCCCAGGTACAAAAAGCCTTTTAGTCCCCATACTCAACCCCCATTTCTTGTTTGTAGAGAAAAGGCTTCAGTCTCCTAGGCCTTCCCCTAGGGCAAATCCAAACCTTTTCTAATCAGGGAAGGAAAGGAAAGCAGAAACAAAGGAAAAGCAATCAAATAATAGTCAAACAATAGTGCCTCGATAAGGCGGAATCCTAGCTCTTTCTCAGGGATATAAAAGGCCCCCCACCCAGGTGGAGGATGGTAACTTCAGGCCGAGCAAAAGATTCCTGGCATTCCACCCTGTTACCTCACGATCAACCAACCAGAACAAAGTCAAACGTCCTGCAGCCCTCTCCCCCCCCCCCCCCCCATTTGTCTTTTAAAACTCTTCCATGTAAACTATGGGGGAGTTTGGGTCTTCAGAGCACAAGCCACCTGTATCCCTCGCTTGGTCCTTACGATAAACCTTTCTCTGCACCAAACTCTGATGCTTTGGTCCGTTTGGCCTCACTGTGCGTTGGGTTCTTGGATTCAATGCCAAGGGCAGCCTGGTGCTCAGGGTGGCTGGGGGAGCAGCCGACTCGACCCCCACTCACCTGGATGGCCATCTTGGACCTGAGGCCGGGGCCCAGCTGGTGAATGATCTGAGCATTGAGGCTGCCACTATTGTCCATGTCACCCACCAGCACGGGGAAGGCCTGTGGGGCAGAGGGCAGGGTTAGAGGTCTAGCATCATAGAAGTATATGCGTGATGGGCCTCGGTGAGAAGCCTAGGATTAGAAAGCCTCAGAATGAGGTTCTCTCCTCCAGGAAGCCCTCCAAGACCACCTTGGCTGAGTTAGGCTCCCCTCTGGGCTCACACAACCTTTGGGTTCCCCCATTTCAGTCCCACTCTCCCTGGACTGTTACTCTCTGAGGACAGGCTGCTCCCTTTCTCCAGTAGGCTGTGAGCCCCATGGCTGTTTCAGTCACTGCTATGTCCCCAGCACCACCCAGCACAGGGCTGGGCACAGAATGGGAGTTACAATGAAGGTTTGTTGAATAAATGAATTTATTGGAAATCATTATGGAAATCATTAATATAATCAAAGACCTAATTTAGTCCCGCAACTCTGTGTCCTGCCCAAGCCTCCTTCCGGGTCTCCGGTTTTGCCTTCACTCCCCTAACCTAGCCTTGGCAGACAGCCTGAGAAATGCTATCTACCTCCAAAGCATTCATCTGATCACGTCTTTCCCTCACTTAAATCTTTCTGTGGCTCTCCTGCGCCCCATAGCGAAAGTTCAAATGCCTAGCTTGGCCTTCAAAGCCCTGCAAGACCTACAGCTCAGCCCTGCCCACTCTGGGTCATCACTGTCTGGTGACCTTGGTGTCCCCAGACTTAACCAGCACAGGGCTGGGCAGAGACGTGGGCGTCAGGATGAAGGGATGACCCAGGTTCCGATGCACCTTGGAGAGACAGTCTCCACCTCCCAACACTCTCAGCAGTCCTGGCCTCCTACTGACAAGGCCTTCTTCGCCTGACTGGCTGCATTGTTAGAAGATACAGTAAATGAATGGCAAAAGGAACCTCACCTCTGTTGGACTCAGCTGCTTTGTCCCCACGTACGTGACCCCGAAGTGGTAGTTGGACTCCCCGATTGTGCTGAGGGCTACTGTGTGGTTCACCTGGGAGAAGAGGGAGGGCTGTGGTGACGAGTCTGTGGGCCACCCCTTAAGGAACCCAGTCGAGCCCACTCCCAGGACAGCTCCTCTCCTGCCTGGGATGGGAGATACTTGCCAATCTGGCTTCCCCATCAGGGCATCTCTAGGCTGGACAGGGGATGAAGACTGGGAGGTGTGGCCTGACTGGATTAGAGACTCAGAGAAGGGATGTGCTGGGGCTGGGGCTGGGGCTACACACCTGGTACTTCATTCCTGCCTGGATGCTGGCTGAGGGGGGATGGTGTATCTCTGGATTCTGGGTCCCTAAACCCTACCACTGGCCGCTATTGTGTGATCAGCCCGGCACTGAGTCTCTGAGTCTTTCCAAGTACCAAGGAGCCCAGACCTTTAGGGAGGAGTAAAAGGGTTGTACGTGCAGATGCAGGGGGATGGCCGGGATTACCTCTGGAGGATAATGGGACCAGGAAGGCTCACCTGGAAATGATTACTCAACCCTTTGTTGACTGTGAGCTTGACACCTTCCATCTGAATAGGAAACAGCTCTAAAGGAGAGAGAAGTGCTGTCACACTCCAACACACACACACACACACACACACACACACACACACACTTCTCATCCCTTCCTTCCGTACCGTCCCCGCTTTCCCTTCTCCAGGGATCCCAACCAGTAAATAGCCTAGTGGATGGGCCCAGAACCAAGGCCTTTGCCTGCATCCAAATTCCAGGGCCACCACCTACTACCTGTGTGACCTTAGGCAAGTTACCTTATCTATGTCAAACTTATCATCTGTAAGTTGAAGATGCTCACCACATAGAAATATTGCAAGGATTTAATGAGTTAACACATACTGAATGCCAGGACGGTGCTCAGTAAGCTGCTGCCACCACTTTTGTTATCACAATTACTCCAAGCCAGGATCCAGAAGCTTTGGGTCCCACCTCCACTGGCCCTTTGCTGACACTGTGACCTTGGGCCACAGTTTCCCTCCCAATCACAAGAGTCTGGCTTGGCTGATTCCTGGGGCTCCTGAGGTCCCTAAGGCTTTCTCTACTGCTCTGGCATTCTATCCTGAGGTTCCACCATTTGATCCCATCGTTCTAAGCCCCAAGCTCAATGTGCCACCATTCGATCCCAATGTCAACTCCTAACGCTCTGTTAAATGATTCCAACGGTCCGTGCCAATTCCCAAGGTCCTCAGTGTGCTCCTCCTTCCCCCGATATCCGGGCCATCACAAGCCCGCCGGGCCCCTAGCCCCTCACCCTTGCACTTCCGGTGGCACTCCTCGAACGTGCCCGGGTTGGGCAGGCAGCCGCAGGCCCTATCATCCCCGGTCCCTCCAGCGCTGGCGGCCGCAGTCCCCGGCGTCCGTTCGGAACCTCGACCTGCGCCAGCTCCAGCACCCAGGCCGCCCCCGATCGGCGGCAGCGTGAAGCCCGGAGGAGAGGGCGGAGGCGGTGGCAGTCCCACGAGGGGAGGCGCAGGCGGCGGCGGCGGCCCTGCGGGCGGCGAGCTAGCAGCCAACACGTTCCCCATGGTCGCCTGCAAAGGGAAAGGTCAGAGGGCAGAGGTCAAGGCCCGCAGGCTCCAGGCCCAGCGCCAGCGAACACCCCTCTGCTCGGAGCCCCGTTTTCACGCGCGGCAGCGCCTCCCCCCGGTGTGCTCCGCTCCCACCCCGTGCGCCACGCGCAACCGAACCCGCTGCCGCCGCCGCCGCCGCCAGCACCGTCGCCCCGCCCCGCCTAGCCCATTGGTTTACCGGGCCCTGGTGTCCGCCCACCAGCTTCAGTGTCTGGCCTTACTATTGGAGTCATGGATGAAAGTCCCACCCACCTCTTTGGAACGTCCTTTTCTGTTGGTTCCCACTCGCAGACAGGTCAAAGCACACCTCCCCCCCTTCCCATTGGCTTGGGGAGCCCACACCGATTGGCTCTAGATGCCGCGGGTTCCGGTGCTCGCCCGCCATTGGTCTGTGCTGCACACTTTGCAACGCCCATTGGCGAATCGCCTCAGCCCCATTCCAGAAGGCGCCCCTCTTTCGACTCCGCCCCTCAGCGAAGTTGCCATGATAATTGGTCGGCCTTTGCCCTTGAAGCATCCTGATTGGCTCCTGCATGTACAGGGGTCGGACCCTGGTGACGTAATCAACGTTTTGTGTTCATTGGCTAATGTGCCAGGGTCAAGGGACACGGATAAAGGTGGGTTGCGCGGCAGAGGCTGCTAGGCAGCAAGGTCAGGCCTCGCGTCCCACCAGGCACCGCGGCAGAGGGGCGGCCCCCTAGTCCGGAGTCGCACACCGAACGCCGGAAGTGCTAGCCCTTCCCACAGTGCCACGGGAGATTTCTAACCCGTTATGTGAACGCTGTCCTGCTTCTTGTTACCCACAATGCCCCTTACCTATTTAACGGGACAGTTGCCGTAGACCCACCCCTTTCGTTACCCATCATGCCTTCTGGATCTCTCCCCCCAACCCTTGCCCCGGTCACTGCGTCTTCCATCTTTGGCCCATTCATTCCTGTCCCATTACCCAGCATGCCTTCTGCTCCATTCATTTCAGCTTGGTTGCCTGTACTACCTTTAGCCCATTTATGCCCGTTCATTTCCCTAATTCTTTTAGCTAATTCTTAATTGACCATAAGGTTTTGGGTCCATTGCCCATCATGCCTGCGGCCCCTATTTCTCCATTATTCATCCCTCTGCCCCTGGCTCATTCTTTCAGACCTATTACCCATCACGCCCTGAGCTCCTATTACAACATTATTCATAATTTGCCTTTGGCCTATTCTTATTGCCATTTATTCATTACGCCCGAGCCCCTCGTACTTAATTACTGCTCTTTCTACTTTGTTTCGTTTATTTCGGTCCATTACCCATTAGACTGCTGTTGCAGATTCCTTTTCGTTAATAAAAATGCCCTGGACTCCTCCCCACTCCTTCCATTACCCATCACTGTTTTTGGCTATGCATTTTTGCTCATTATCCCCTCAATTATCTTTTTCACATCTTTGGCTCTTTTCTTAATGTCTGTAACCCATCTTGACTTCTAGTCTACTGATTCCCTGAAGCCCTCGACCCCCCTATTCATTACCCATTATGTTCCACCCCCATCCCGTTCACAGCCCACAGTAAACACGAGTTGAGACCTGGTCAAAGTACAAACTCATTTTGTAGGAAATGCTGTATTACAAAACAATATCACATCCCCTACCCCTGATCCAGGTGATCCATTCCCCACCCCCCACCCAGGCGGGTGGGTCCAACCCCACTGGGCAGGAGTAAGAGAACTCAGTAGTCTTCAAAGTTAACAGCAAATTCTCCGAAGGCTGGGGTCAGCAAGGCCCACTCTGCATGAAGCTCACCCCATGTAGCCCTGAGCTGGGGCATAATTCTCTGTACACAGGAATTAGGGTAGTGGGAGCTCAGGGAAGGGTTTGTACCCTGAGACTCCTGCCTGCAGGAGGGAGGAGATGGGGAAGTTCTGCTTTGGGCTGGGGAAATCCCCTCCCTCCCACCACTGGGGACAGGGTGGGGACTGGGCGAGTGGGGCTCTGCCACCTGGAGGGCTCAGGTCTGAGCAACAGGATGCCCCCAACACCCACCCAAGCAGAGCTGTTAGGAGTGACGGCCTGAGGTCCAATCAGAGGTCTTCTTTGGGATTTGGGGGGAGTCTGGAGATGGTGGGACATGAGAGGTATAATCTAAGGTCACAGTCTGAGGACCCCTTGGGTAAGAGGTTGTGAAGAAACCTACCTTCTCCAGCCCCTCCTAAGATAAGGTTATCAGTTTTCCATCGTCATGGCCCATTTCTCTGAGTCAGAGATCATGGATTAGAGGTCACAGTGGAGCCACCAAGATAGAAGACACAGATGAGATGCATGTGTGTTAACTGACAGTGGCCAAGCGAGAGATCGGGGGCCCTAGATCCCTGGCAGAAAGTTGAGGGATCAAAAAATGAGAGATGAGAGGCCAGGACCATGGCGGCTTACACATACATGGCCCGGGACATGACAAAGCCTTTGCCCTGGTAGGACTCAGAGGGGCTGGAGTAGGACAGGGAATCGTAGATGGGGTTGATCTTGTCCAGATAGTCTTCCTCCTCCTCCTCGTCCTCTAGATCCAGGGAAACCGTCTCCAGAGCAGGCATCCCTGGAGGCACCAGCATGGGGGACCCCAGGTTCGTGGCCCCCAGGAGCAGGGGCCCTGACCGTTCTTCCAAGGTGGGAAGCTCATGGTATCGAGGCATTTCCTGGGGATCGGGAGGGAATGAACCCAAGGTCACCTCTTGAACATGACACAGAATCCCACTCTGCTCCTTGACCCTCAAATCCTGACCACCATCTCCCCATGCCAACCAGACCTGACCTCACCCTATGTCACCCCTTGTCACCTGGGTTGATATTGAACTGGGACAATCATACAGCTGGTCCCTAACTCAAAGCCCAGAGCATGGACTCTACCCTGTTAATCTTGAGCCTCTCCTTTTCTTTTGATCACTGACCCCAAGTCTTTCCCCATGAGTCTTTGACTTCAATCTTGACCTAAACTTAAGCTCTAAATAGCCCCTTGAAAACTGACTTGTCTCAAACTCAACATCCAACCTCTGATCTCCAGGAGGCCACTGAGGGGAGTGACTGTCTGTCTTGTCCCAGCTCCAGGTACAGTGTCTGGCAAATGGAGATACTCAACCAGTCTTCTTTGATGGGATGACTTTAAACTCTCACCCCATGTCCTTGGACTTCTACAACCAAGACCTCCCCCACTGAATCCTAAATGTATCTCAGAGCTCTAAGGTCTAACCAGAGATACAGCTCTGAACTTGAGTTGTAACCGTTAGTCCTTGACCTCTTATGTAAGGAGGCCCTTAAACTCAGATCCCAAACTCACCCTTGTCCTCTCCCGAGCTCCTACCTGCTCAGCGCACGAGACACTAGCATCAAAGTAGGGGGTCTTGAGCGGGTTGTGCTCCGAGGCCCCCAGGGTGAAGAGCTGGGAGGGCTGTGATGCGAGAGAGGGGGACAGGTCAGGACCACCCCCCCTCCCAGACAGCCTCTCCCCACCAGTCCCCGCTCCCAGCCCTGACCTCAGTGGCAAAAGTGGTGTGGGGATGTGGGGGCAGCCTGGGCTCCAGGGGAAGTGCTCACCATGTCCGGCTCCTCCAGCTTTGCCTCTGGAGTCGGCGGCTTGTATGAGGGAGGCCCCTCTAGGCTGTGGGGTAGGAGGTAGGTCAGGTGAAGGCTAAGCCCTGAGAAGCCCTCTACCCCAGGGCCACTGCACAGTTCTTTCCTCTGTCTGATCTCTCTTTCCATCACCCACCTCCCCTTACCCAGCTTACTCATCCCATGAATTTCTCTTCTTCCAGGAAGCCCTCCTGACTCTCCAGGAGGATCTGGAACTCCTGTTATATGATCATATCTACCTATACGTCCCTCACAGGGCACTTACTGAGTTTGTATTTGAAATATTATTTCTGATCTCATTCAACGACTGTACCCCACTGTGAGCAAAGTGAGGGGAAAAAAATGAGATCTGTGTTGTCAACATGGCGTTCCCAGAACACACTATGAGGAATATCAGGAAATATCTAGAAGAGGGAATGAAAAAAATGAATGAAATGCTTTCCTGCCCCCCAAACTCTGTTAAATTCCCTCATTCTACACACCCTCAGACCAGAGCATCCTATATATATAATAATGATGGAGGCTTACTATGCCTTCAATCCCCATCTCAGATGTCCCTGCCTCCAGGAAGCCCTCCCTCATCTTTCAGGCTGAGTCAGGTGCCCCTTCTAGCCTCTCCCAGCTCCCTCAGCTTCCCTAGCCCATCCCTGGCCATGATGGACTGCCACTGTCTGGGAACAGGTCTGTCTCCTTGAGACTGTGAACCCTGGGAGACCAGGGCCAGGGCCATCTCAGACACCACTGGGTCTCATGGGCTTAGAAAAAGAGATCAACAGCAAGTTGTTGGTTTGCATTGACTAGATGATTAAGACAGTGGTTCACAAACTTTCTTGTGCATCGTAGGGAGTTTGTTATAAATACAGATGCCAAGCCCTTCTTGTAAAAGTTCTGATTCAATAGGTTTGGTGTAAGCCCAGGAAGGTGCATTTTTAACAAGTGTTCCCCCTCACACACACTGGGTCGTATTATTTCAGAACCATTTTGCCCCCAAAATGCTGTCTTGCTGGATGAATTTCAGCAAGTGATTTCAGCTCTCTGAACCTGTTTCCTCTTTGAGAAAATGGGTACCCTTAGCTCCATCTGAAAATCAGGTTTCCATGATATGATATGTTTTTGTGTGTGGACGTCTTTTATTTATTTTTTAAATTTATTTTATTTTTTTGGACATCTTTTAAGTGTTTGTCTCATTGTGTTCCTAGCTTTCAGGGTCTTGCCCCAAGCGGGTACTTTCTGAATACCTATTGAACGAACGAATGAATGGATGGATAGGAGGCTTCACTGAGATCACGTACATAACATACATCTCATCAAGCCTGTCACATAAGTGTTCTACACAGAGAAGTGGGGCTAGTTTCCCCCAATATCTAGGCTCCTCTTTTCTCATAGTAATAGAGATTTTGGCTGGGTACGTGGCCACGAGAATAAAGACTACGTTTCCCAGCTTCCTTTGCAGCTGAGGCAGCCATGTGACTAGGCCCCTGGGAAATGGGAAATTAGAGGAAGTGATGGGTTCCCTTACAGGGCTGCTGACTGCCTTCTATTTCCATTTCCATTTCCC